AATAACTGTACATTAGTACTGTACTTAATTGCTAGGTTACTACGAAAAATTATTGAATTATGGACAATCATACAACTACGGTTCATTTAAATTATGGGCTGGTAATAAATTAATCGTTGTCATTTCTAAGCCAGAAGATCTTCAGGTAATTATTTTTTATGAATAAATAATTTAAAATTATCAATATAAATGTCAACATTCATCTTGAACATATAATGTATTAAAAAAAATAACTACGGTTAATTAACGTACATTTAATGTTCATTCAACCATATTACATATGTACAATACAACTTTAGATTTAAAAAATAAACAAAACAATTAAGCATTCAAATTATATAGTCATATAAGATTAAACATTCAATTGAAAACGGGCTAAATTAACCTCAGAATAGTAATATCTCAAACCTAACATATCAAATGTCTATAAAAGGCTTAATATTCACAGTATTCTATAAAAATTATAGGTCTTTTATCAGTTAGTATCCAATTAAGTAAAATATAAATAGGTAATGTGGACATTTTTCCTGATTTTATATTGGTATGTCACTTTTCTGTTAACCTACCTCACAGATCCATAAACAAGTTGGGACAGAAAAATAAACCACCGAAAATGTAAAATGAGAATGATTTTCCTTTCTACGTGTCAATAAAACACAATCATACTACTACTGGCTAATGATTAAATATAATGATAGTATGTAAACCAAAATTATAGTGTACTAGAATGTAATACAAAAATTCTTTTCAAAAAAAAAAACAATGATATGTAGAAAATAAAATATCGTACATAAACAAAAGTTACACCCAGTTAAATCTTTCCAAAAATACATTATGAAACACGGGCTTTAATATAAACTATACATACTAAATTCAATTTCTAAATCAATTTTTTTCAGATTATTTTTAATAGTTCGAAGGCCTTAGACAAAGGATTCCTGTATAATATGGCTACTAAATTTTTGGGTGAGGGCTTAGCTTTTCAGGAGACTTTGGAGTTTCAGCTCCAGGTACGTGTACATTGTTTATTAGTTTAGCACAATTATTCTAACGTTCAACTATGGTTTACCTATTTATTAATGTAGCTATAAATTCAAATAAGTTTTCTTTTACCGAACCTAACCTGGGTAAACAGGTCTACTAATATTTGTTTTTTTTTTAATCTTTTCAAGTTAAAATTTAGATACTATACTAATAAGTTCCACCATTTAAATCTTCGCATTGGTCAAATGTCTTATTAAAATTATTACAGTAGATAAATGGAAAATACATCGACGTTTGATAAATCCTTTGTTTAAATACGAAAATATAAAAGAAATGTTTTTCCCGGTTTTTCAAGAGAAATCAAAACTACTAATTCAGAATCTACAAAAAGAAATTTGTAAAACACAACCGTTTGATATATTGGACTATGCATCATATATTACTCTTAATACAGTTTGTCGTAAGTTTTAAAATCTCTACTACTATGGATATGTTTGAATGTGGAATACATTGTACCATACTATTATACTTGCAGTGATTACTATTAGTAATATTATTGATGTTTTATTGCCTTTTTAGAAACAACAATGAATTACAATCTCGACTCTCAGGCAGATATGGGTTCCAAGAAGAGTGTCAGAATGTAAAACATTTACATATTAACGAACTAAATTACAATTAATATGTTAGGTCATCTGTCTATGGACTAAAAAAATTATTTATTTGCAGGGGTTTTGAATTGATAGTTCATAGAGGAACTAAAGTTTGGTTGTATCCTGAAATTATATATAATCTTTATATCAAATTGTTTGACTATGAAAAATATTACACAAATG